GCAACTGTGGCCAGGAAGGACTTTCTCTGGCTTCACCAGATGTGCTAGTTGTGTTCTTTCCTTGATTCAGTCACTCATGCCCTGATCATATCATGGCTTGATTATGCAATGTGCTCCACCAGCCTTAAAGACCATTTAAAAGCTTCAACAGATGCAGAATGCAGCAGCAATCAGCCATGATGGACATACCATGTTTGTTACACAAGCTGCAGTGGTTGCCAATTTGCTTCTGTGTGTAATTCAAGATGCTGCTTGTTACCATAAAGCTTTACATGACATAGGGACTGATTATCTGAAGGACTACCTGTCTCCCATAGTAACAAATTTGGCAGGGTTGGGTTCCTTTAATTAAACAGGACCCCAGAAATGCCTTTTCTCTGCAGCAGCACGGCCCTCTGGAATGAGGTTCCCCCCCCCACCCCAAGATTTAGCTCCTTGGCCAAGCCTTGTGAAGTCCCATTTGGATTATGCAAGTTTTGTTTCTTTTTTGTCATCCTTGCTATCTTTACTCTTCATGTTTGTCTGTCATATTTTTCCTTGTTTAGGATTTTTTTTTATTTGTAACTGCCCAGAATAATTGGGAATCGGACAGCGTATAAATTTAGTAAATTATTTTTGAGAATTCATTACAAAACATTTTAACCATTTAGTCAAGCTAGTGATGAACCTCCAGTTCTACGTAAGCATTGCTTTTCAAATGATGGTATATGTTTAAATTATATGAAACAGTTTTGTATACCTCCACCCTCCTTTTAAATATTGATTGGATTTAAATACTGGGAATACTGTATCAAAACAGCAGTCGACTGCACTATGCAGGGATAATTCAGTCCACTTGTAAAACACAGGAATTTTGTTTAACTCTTAAAGATAATACACTTTCATCTTTTCCTATGTATTGGTAAATGATGAGATTTATGCAACATTTAATGTTGGCAATATATATTAGTTCTGTGGACTTAACATGCAGAAAATGTACAAACTGCTAGCACCTAGCCATAGCACTTGGACCAAAGCTTCAAGGTGCTTTACAGCTCTCTCTAAGCTTTTTGCAGAGTCAGCATATTGCTCCCAACAATCTGGGTCCTCATTTTACAGACCTCAGAAGGATGGAAAGCTGAGTCAACCTTGAGCCGGTCAGGATCAAACTCCTGGCAGTGAGTAGAGTCAACTGATATATATATGCTGGTCCATTAATTACAAGTTGAAATCTGGAAGACAATTCTATATGCAGATAAAAGTTCAAAATTAAAACCTAAATGGATTATAATGCATAATTTCACAGCTCACATGAAGCCTGGAATGTTTTGAATAAAATTTCTACATTACTATGAAGCATTTTTATGTACAATTAAAGATAGTGATCTGATAACTTAAAAGGCTGAAATAGTAAATATTTTGTCTTCTTTTTAAGAGTCTAAAATCTATGCATGTGCATTTTTCTACTGAGTCAATATATCGCCTATAGGGTTTTTCTATGGATAGCTTTGCTAAGGAATATTTCATTCTTTTTGGATATGAAGAGCCTTGATAATTCTTATTTGAATAAAGTCCAACAATTAGTGTCTGCTTAGTCTTTGTAATGGAATATATAAATGACCTCGGGGAAAGAGGGGAAGAGATGCTGTCTAGGAGACAATCAGACACATGAGGCAGGAGCCCTTAGTGGATTAAGGACCAGAGGAAGAAATTTAGGATGCCCCGCTCCACCTTAATTGTTCAGATGGTTAATATGGTGGTGGAAAATTGTACCTTCAAATTTGCAAGATTCTGTTAATGTAGCCTTATAAGAAGGCAGAATTAGTTCATCTAGTTGCGCTTTCTGCTTAAAATACAGTCAGGGATTATTGGACAAGTAGAAAGATATAGCTAATTTAAACTATACAGGCTGCACATTCACTATATGTGACATTGCGTGTCAATTTGAATGTTAATTTGTAACATTTTAAAAAGGAGAAACATGTACTGCTCTGCCCAAAGTGTGATGGAATTCAAGCTTCCCTTTTACCCTTGGAACTCCTGCCAGATGTTCTTCAGCATCCCTTCCCCATCTGCTCCAGGAGTCTTTCCCAGCTGCACAGAGCAGATTTGGTGGGTCAAGACCAGGGCCTCCAAACTTGCCAACTTTTAAGACTTGTGCATTTCAACTCCCAGAATTCCTTAGTCAGCTGGTCAAGAAAGACAATCCAGCTTTTTGTTGATAAAGCTAGTCCCCTCAGCAAAAGAACAATCCTGAAGCAAGCCCAGCATTGTTGAAGTTCAAGATGACTAAGCAAATTTCCACAGTAATCATATTAACTCTGCTTTCAAGTTTGGGAAATATAAATACCTGTGTAAAGTGTGTGTATGTGATTTGTAGCAGTTGGTTTGGAGAATGGTAAAATGGTGTTAGAACTAATAGGTACCCTACGCCAATTATACAAAAAGAACAGACAATGCAGTACAGCCGGAGTACTTTAATTCAATTAATGTTATCTGCGCTATTATTTTAAGAACAATTCCTCTGCAGTGAATATAATCAAAACAAAACTGAGCAGTGCTTTGATGAATATTATTAAATTCTGCTTAGCCCGTTCCATAGCAACCGGGCCAATACTGCTTCCATTTATATTGGTCTGGAACTAATATATGAAATTCCTGATGCTTTTACCAGAATCAAATTGAAATACTGAAAGAGACATATTTTCATTCTGAATACACTGGCATTAATAAGAATCTGTTCATTAAAAATTACTTAAAAGTACAGAAAATACAAGAAATATTTTATTCACTTTTTGCTAGGGGAGAGCTCCCATACCATTTCCTGTTATGTAATTTGATCATATCTGTTAATTTTAGAATTTAATATCCATGGAATTATGGATGAAAAAGTTTCCAAAATGCTGCTTCTATAAAAATGGAATATGTTTAAGTCCAAACCAGCTTCTCTAAAATGATCTTGTAGGCAAAGTATATATTTTCTGTTTTGTGTCCTTTTCTTTCGATGGTGTTTGCTAGTTGCCAAATCCTTTAATTCTAAACTTCAAATTAGCATTTCTTTTTCTGCAGGTCTACAAAGGTTGCTCTGAATCTACTAAAGGAGAAATAGCTGAAGCTTGCAAGTCACAAAGATGGTAAGTTACCTTTAATAAATGAGTAGCAATCTATTTTACATACCACTGCTTTTAGAAGCAAATCATGGATGTAATATTGGCCAATGTCCTACTTTTATCAAGCAACTCTTTGATAGATCAAAAAAGATAATTCTGCCAAGCTTTTGTGAGTATCTTCTCGCAATGCTAGGATAGCAACTGGCAGTAAGAATATTTGGTGAGTACAATATTCATTAGGTTTACAAGAAAGCATACTGTACATGTTTTAAACTTACCTGCATATTAAAAATATGAAACAAGTATTTTATAGGAGTAAAACCGTGCTTGAAAACAACTGTAGGATTTCTCTCATTAGAAGAACTATTATGTAAATATAGCCAGGTTTTATTTCATGGTTTCACACAGAATTGACTTCATGGGACACAACTTTCCACTGTAAGCTTAAGATAGTGTTCAGCAATGCTATCATAAGAGTATATAATCTCATAACCAATTCTCAAAATCATTATTTTGCTTTTACATAAGTATTGTTTAGTAGTATATAGTGCTTTTATGAAATTATCAAACTTTACCAATTAAGAAAATACATTTTCTAAACCACTCCTGCTTTATAGGTAGGCAAGGTTGATTTTGGTAACTGGCTCCTAGTTGTCTCCTGGGTCTCTATCACCTCAATAACCACTTTTTTATTGCTTTTTGGACAAAGAGCTTCTAAGACTAACTAGTATCAGATGTTTTAATTTAACAGAATTGAAAGAAGCAAATTAGATTTTTTTTTAAAAAAAATATACAGTTCCCAAGTAGTTGAATTGTAAACCAACAAAGTGCTTGATTTACATTAATGTAAAGCACTTTGAAAATATTCCTTCAAGTCACAACAGTGATAGAAACCATGGATTTTAACACAGATGTGACAGTCATTTCTAAGGTTCTTCTCACCCTAATGCTTCCATCCCTTATATCAGGGGTCTCCAAACGTGGCAATTTTAAGACTTGTGGATTTCAACTCCAAGAATTCTCTAGCCAATAGGAGAATTTTGAGAGTTGAAATGCATGAGTCTTAAAGTTGCCAAGTTTTGAGATCCTTGCCTTATTCTGTTACCTACCCATGACCTTTTCTCATCACAGGGAAAGTACCTGCAATATCAATGTTCAGGGCTATGATCACCAAAACAATAAATGGAAATCATAATTTCTTGATCTCAGCCATCTCCCCCCAAAAATCCAAAACCCTACCTGAGATGAATCTATAGCAGTGATGGTGAACCTTTTAGAGACCGAGTGCCCAGACTGCAACTCAAAACCCACTTATGTATTGTCGGGTGCCGGGTAGGTGTGGCCCATTGGGTGGGAGTGGCCCATTGGGTAGGTGTGGCTGCGGTGGTAACGACAGACTGGGTAGGACTAAAAAGTTCAATCAATCAAGTCCAACTTTGCAAGATCTTTTTTTTCCCATGAGAAGTTGAAATTGACTGATTGATTTTGCACACGGCGGCGGAGGCCTAAAGCGAAAAGGTTTTATAAAATCCAGCTGAAGGCCTAGGACTGGGACGATGGCGCACGTGCCCACAGAGAGGGCTCTGAGTGCTGCCTCTGGCACCCGTGCCATAGGTTCGCCACCACGGATCTATAGTATTTAATGGTACAATAATGTTGTTTTAGCCTCTAATAACAATATTGGAGGATTTTCTACAAAAATGGTAGCAGTGTTTCTTTTTCTTCACTAAGCTAAAAGGATGTAAACATTTATTCCATGAATAAAGATAGATCTCCTTTGTTTTTAAAGCTTTATCGGTGATATGAAATGTAATACTTATTTTAGCCTAAAGAAGAATCAAAATCCATTTTGCAATATAAATATGAAATTACATTTAGTACCATTTCACTGAGCCTCACGCATCATTTTAAGTCAAGTTTTTATAAAAGGAATATGGAACATAACATAGCTTTCTAATTACCTGATCTTTTTAGAGATAGTAACATTAATTAATATACAAATATTGACACAATTTCCAATATTCAAGATTGTTTATATGACTGAGCCATTTTAATACTTTGTTTTACAACAAGGTGAGTGATGCCAGGTAAGAATATCAGCTCCATTCAAATGTGCAGAGATTCATTCAAGTCACTGATCGGACGACCACAGAATACTCTCCAGGAATTAAGTTGTGGAGAAAAGTGTTGCATTTACTATATCCTACATTGGAAAACGTTGGATAATTTTTATTAAGGCCAGTGTACGTCTTAAGCGTTATCTTTTTAGCTTTCAAATGTCTAGTCAGCCTATAACAAAATAGACAGGAACAGTAGCAAGAACATACATTTCAGATATTTTAAAGGATTAAAAATATCACCTTTCACACCAATTTCCCTATTCTTTCTTCTTTATAAATGAAACTTTCTCTTTGGTTTCTTGTATCTTTTCAGTTATCCTCTCTTTTGTTTCTTCCATTTTCTCAGTTAATTTTTCTTTTGTTTCTTCCATTTTGCCACTAATCATGTCTCTTGTTTCCTCCATTTTTCCCGAGATTCGTTCTTTTGTTTCTTCCATTCGGTCTTGAATATATTCCTTCACTGGAGGTGGTGTGGACATATGTCCTTGCTTGCGAAGATACTTCACAGTGATAGATGTTCCTCCTAATGTCACTGTGTATCTGGCTGGAGTTGCAATCTTGCCAATAAAAAAAAACCATAAAGAAACATTAAGGACTTAAGGGACTTTAAATTATTTTGCCCAATAGCATTCACAGGCCTGGCTACAGCTCTTTAGACACTGTGTTAGTGCAGTTAAAGTACTGATATGGCCCTAGCAAGGAAATTCTCCAAGGTATCCAGAGCATTTTTAAAGAGATATTGGTAGATCTATGCATTTTAATAAGTCATTCAGTCACCAAAAGAACAAGCTGGTCTCATCAGCAACATCTGTGCCTCCCAAAATCTACTCTGAAATGCAGAATGCATCATCTGCAAAGTACTTTACAGAACAGATCACTGTTGAAGTTGGAAGAGAAAGCTGAATTTAGTCTCATGGTTTGTCTGAATTATTTTATTGCTCTTAAAGCTTTGATGAGTTGTGCAGTTTCATTTGAATAAAGTTAAAAATAAAATGTAGCTACTGAAAGACAACTATATTTTCTATGGAGATACAATGGAAATTTTTTCTAAAAGAATAATTCCTAGAGACCAGTTGAAAACTTTCAAAATATTTAAAAAAGGAAAAAAATATCTCTGTATGAATTAAATAGGACTTTTATGCAGTTTTGATTGTCCTTTCCAATTTTGTACCTAGTGTGCCATTCCTGGTTTATGGTTTGGTGTTTTGTATTCATTTAAATATTCTACTTTAAAAATTAAAGTTAAAAGTAGTTTTTTAAAAATACCCTCCTACTTTATTTAATAGTATCTTATTGGCAACTGAAGTATTTAGCAAATACTTCAGCAAGGATGGAAGAGATTCAGCTCAAAGTACGTGGCATTAAGCAGAGAAAAAGAGATCTGAGAAAAATAAAAAAGCATTCAGTGTGCGTGTGTATTTAAAATCCTAAATGCTATTGAGACAAGAAAGTAATTCTTTTGTCATGTAATAAAAGAAAACTTTTGTCTTTAAAGTACTGAGATGCAGAGATAAAATTGTGCTTTTTGTAGGAAAAATCTATTATTTTCCAAAATTGTTCTTTAAGGCTGAAAACCAGAAAATTCATGCATTAAGTGATAATTTTAAACTATTACCAGAAAAGATATTTAAACCTAAATTTTAGAGTATACAAAAATTAACAATATCTGTAAAGTCTGGGCATTTTTGTAATATTTTTAAGAGATAATTTTTAAATTATTAATAATTCTGCAGAGCCAGCACTTTTAATGTTGTCAAGTAGCACTGATAATGATAGTTTAAGCCACAGAGTCCTAAGCTCACAGGCACATAAGCAAATTAAACAGTATTGTTTTGCAATGAATTTTGCCCTTTTTTATTTATAAAGAAAGGTCAGGATGCACTGCAGAGCAACACTATTAACATTCCATTATTATTCCACTATGTGGCACTAATAAGAGGGCCAGGGTAGTAATGGAGACACTGATGGGAAAGCAAGCCTTGTCGTGCCAAAGGCTAATAGAGGGAACTGCAAATGAGGTTCCTGGAGCAACTAATCAAATCTTACATCACTTGTTAAGTCCTTTGAATGTTTTTAAAAAGAGAAACATTTAACTAAGTTTGTGACAAACTAGATTTTGCAAAAAAAGTCACATTTTACTGAACAAGATGGTATATTATAAAAGTTGTGAAATACAGAAAATTTAAATGGAACATTTTCCCATAAGAAATGTTTTACAGATAGTGATACAAAAAGAGGCCCTCGGCGAGTTTGCTGTAGACGGGCGCTTGGGCAATATGATTTTCCTCTCCCTGTGTTGCCAATTGCACCCCAAATCTCCTCTAGAAGATCACATGCAATTTGATGAGCAGAATGATGTTACTGAATACAACCCAGGGTCTTCTTAGTTTCTAAATAGACGTTGCTCTTCATTATTCACCTTCTTCCTTTTTCATTCCTCTAACACTGTTTTTTTTATTTTCTTACAAACTGCTTTTTTAACTATGTTTGCATTCCGCTAAATATTTTTCCTCATAAACGTCAAATTATGTAAATGAATTTTTAACATCTTTCTTTTTATCACCATATAGAATTTATCTTATTAACTATAGCATTATTGTATTTATTCAGAGCCCTCGTGAGAAGAATCTATTCCTCAGTAATTATATACACACACAATTTGCATACTTTGAATGTAGAATCCCAGAGGCTCACTGGTAATTCTGTAGGGAATAGTCTGAGGTTGATTGATTCAGTTTTCCTTAACCCACCTCTGTTCACAAATTCCAGCAGTCTGCCACACATCAGAATGCCCCAAATTAAGGAAGCCTAATTACCTAATGTAATTCTTGATGCTGTTTGAGCTTTTATTATCCAACTAGTGGGTGCAGAATTTGCTCTCTGTTTGCCCTGCTAATATTAGTGGGCTGGTGGTGGTGTTTTCCTTTGCAGTTCCTTAGGGTATTGTTTTCTGCTTGTTTGTCTGGTACTAATCCCAGGGTGTTGCTGCTGGAGTGGATGCTCTGGTCTTTTTGTTTCCTTCTTAGCTTTAAACTATTTCTTTTGAATGGTGTCTAAATGGGTAAATGTAGTTTATCTCTATGTGTTTGTTGATAGCTGATTTATCTAATGCCAAACTTCCAGGAATTTGCTAGTGTTTTTGGATTTAGTTTTCTCTAGGATGCTCAGTTTTCCAGTTGAAACTATGGTTGAATCTGTCCATGTATGGTGAGATTAAAGAGTTTTCTCTGTGTCTTCTGCTAGTTGTGTTCACGGATGCATACAAATCCCACATTCACTAGAACTGACAATGTTACCTTGTCAGACAATGAAACAATGGTGAGCAAACAACCAAGCTCAGAGAGCACCAGGGACTCCACAGTTCAACTCTGAGCTATGGATATTCTCTTCTATTGTAACCGTACGTTCAAATATTCCTGTGGGTAGGGTTAAGAAATCCATGCATCTACTTACCTTATACAATGCATAGGCAGTTAATGCATTTCCACTTTGAGAATGCTTTAGGATGTTCACAATGCTTTCAGGCAACCCTATGAATTCAAGAAACGGGACGACATTTACTCCCCTGTAAAATGAAGACATATTAAAATAAATTACAACATTCCTATTTTGGTAAACTTTTTTGTAGAATTATAATAAAGAAGGATTTTTATATTTGATAACAAATCATTTCTTTTTTTCCTCAACTGATACAGAGTAATGAATGAATTGTCAATAGGACAATTGTCAAGAAGGAAAAAATGAAGTATATCCATTACAGAAGATTTCCAGTTTTGAAATTTAATTCCAATATTTTAAAACTATGATTTATATCATGTGTTCCATGCCCTAGGGATCTGGGAGGGTACTTTACATGATCTTCTGTACAGCTTCCAAATTAAATTTGTATGTATATCTGTGTATGCATATAGAATAATAAACATATCTAAATTGCAAAAATATCACCAGATTGTCAATTTAATATTTCAGGTGGGAAAACCAGCAGCTTGGAAGATGTAATGATTTTGTATGGCTCTGATTATTTTTACCTAAATTGTGAATCCTAAGAGCATCAAATGGAAGGGATCAAGTATAACATAGTACCTGCAGGTGCCAGGTTGATGATCTTTGACTAATATAGGGGTCTTCAAAACTAATGATGCAGTGCTATGCCTTAAAATGTTTGGAATCACCTATCTAGGCTATTCAGACATAACTGATTCTTGGAGTTATTTCACCATTGTCTTTACTGTGGTAACTCAAGGCCAAGATGAATAAAAGTATTAGTCCTCAGGGGCAGGCTATATGACTTTCATTAAAAGAATTTTGGAATGTCTGCTTCAACCATAAAAGCTAATACTGCAAAATTCTATCTGGCATATATCAACTTCTTGTCTAAACAGGTTACACAATTAATTAATATGTCTTAAGAGAAAAATATAGTCAGGTCTTCTGAAAACATGAATTAAACATTATTCTGAACATGTAGTCTCCATTACATTAAAACTGAGTATCAAATGTTAAGCCAGATCCATTTGAACCAATGAACTTTAGCTAAATTCAAACAATACCTTAACCTGTGCCTTGGAGAGTTAATATTGTTGGAAACTTTACTGGATATAACTCACAATACGAAAAAATCAAGTGTCACAACCGTACATGTTTCTCTGAGAACAAATTCAATTATATCTTTAAGGCTTGGTTAAAAGACACTGGTTGACTGGAAGGTGGGCAGTTCGAAACCCAACTACTGCGTGATAGGGTGAGCTCCTGTTCTTACCCCAGTTCCTGCCAACCTAGCAGTTTGAAACCATGCAAATGCAAGTAAATAGATATCACTTCGGTAGGAAGGTAATAGCATTCCATGTACCTTGGCATATAGACATGCCGGTCACATGACCAAAGAAGTGTCTTCAGACATGCTGGCTTCCTTAGCTAGGAAACATCACCCCCCTAGAGTTGGACACAACTGGACAGGGGAAACCTTTACCTTTTTATAATGTAACCATGCTTTTCTTTTCAGCTCATCTTTATGAATTCTATCACTTTTGATTGGCAGAAAGTTTTCAAGGTCTTGAAACATGATTTGTTAGGATAGAAACTTAACTGTTGTTCTCTTTGGAAAAGGATAGTCATTACCCCTAGATAACAGTAAACAAACATCTACTGAGTCAATTACTGGCAAAGCCGAAGTGAAGATTTGTTAGTTTTAAGTAGGTTACAATTTTTGGCTTCTCGTAGAAGAGGTAGAACAATGATAATTAGTGAGCAGAAGCACAAGTGTCTCTGAAATCAGAAGGTATTATAACTATTTTAGTTATTCTAACCAGATGGCATTAAATGCCCTTTCTAAAAGCAATGGGTCTAAATGTCATTCTAAATTTATCCCTTCTCAGGGTAATAAACATCCAAGCTGTTTAAAATTTTGTTTCCAGATACATATTTATCTTCAGGTATTAAGAAAAAATAAATAGCTGGTTTTATTAGATATTACAGACATTAATTACATTTACTTCTTGATCATGTAGCTTGATACAGATTTAAACAAATTTAAGGATCTAAATTGGGAAGCTAGAATATTAATGTTTGGGACCACTGTTTTAGTTTTCAACAAGATATCATATTTTAAATATACAAAGGAATTCACATATATTTAGGATCCTTCTTGTAGAACTACTGAATTCATACAGCACAGACCCTTTAAAACTCCTTTAAGGTGCTAGTCTATTCATATGTACATGGGATTAATCCCACTGAACTTTGTCACACTTTTGTGTATATGGCAGGGGTTCCAAGTCTGTAACTTAAGCCAGGGATATTTTAAATATTCCTTAGTAAGTTTTAGAGCATGCATGCAAGCATGCAGCAAAATTACTGAGCAGAGATCCTATATTATACATTTTAAGTTCATAGCTTTAGCAGATATTGTCTTAAGTACTAATTAAACCTGTACTACTTATTCTAGCTTCCTCATTAGCATTTTTACATGTTACACAATACAAGAAACTGCTCCTTTTGAAATAAAGCTAGGATTTAAACAGAAAATAAAACATTAGAACTGCTATAAACACAAGTATAACTTCCTATTTAATAGACTCCTTCACACTACTATTTTTTCATTAAGATGACATCTTATTGTCTTATTTTTACAGGTAGTTCTCGATTTATGATTACAATTGAGCCCAACATTTTGGTTGCTAAGCAAGACGGTTGTTAAGTGAGTTTTGTCCCATTTTACAACCTTTCTTGCCATACTTGTTCAGTGAATCACTGCAGTTGCTAAGTTAGCAATACAGTTATTAAGTGAATCTGGCTTTCCCACTGTTTCTCAGAACGTTGTAAGAGGTGATTACATGACCCCGAGATACTGCAACCGCCATAAATACATGCCAGTTGCCAAGCATCTGAATTTTGATCATGTGACCACAGGGATGCTGCAATGGGTGTCACAAGTCACTTTTTTCAGAGCTATTGCTTTTGAGCTATCACTAAACAAATGGTTCTAAGTTGAAAACACAACTTACAACAAACATCTTATCAGTTTTAAAAATGTTATATTTTATTGCACAAAGCAAATAAATACTTAATGTGGACTTTGTAATTTTATTTTGAAGTGTAATAGAGATAACCATTGATTTAAAAATTGCTGTTTTTTCTTAACAGATAGGCCAGGAATTAAATTTGGAGCTTTCTAAAACTTAACAGAAGTTGCTGGCATGCGAATACATGGAAATAAATGAAGGATGGCCTCTAACACAGATTTTCTTCACTATCCACAAACTCCACTTTCCACTAATCAATAAATTGGCACAGAACAAGAGTGATGGAAGGAAACCTCCAAAAGAAAGAACATAAAATTTGATAAATTTAGGTAAGAAAATCACAGCGCAATTTTACAGAATTGTATTAAAATTCCCACTGAGTTCAAGGGGCTATTAGTATAAACTTACTTTAGTTAATCTATTAAAATCAATTTTATTTTAGAATATGTATAGGCACTTTATGTGCATTTGGGCTTCCTACTCAGAAAAGTTACAAGTCCTTTAAGTGTTTCATTGCTTCTCTTGTACATCTAAATGCATTCTTCTTCTCATACAAAATCAAGTATTTTCATAGCAATTGTTCAAGTATCAAGTATGATCAGAGATTCTTGATAACGTTCTAAGATTTTTCTAATTTCAAATATGATAAGCTCCAGGCTCTTTAATTCTACTATTCTTGGGGATAGCTAAGCAAAACAGTGTTTGTTAAATTCTCAGCCTTTAAAAACTATCCTGTGCTAAATTGCTCATTCGATCCTTCGCTGAATGCTTGGCCAATTAAGATAATACACACTGTTATTTTGAAATGAAACACAGGGTACCAATGATTCTTTCCCATCTTTTCCTTTTTTCAGGTCCAGCCTCCCCAAATTTATGTACAGCTTTTTTTTTTTAAAAAAAGGACACAACATGAATTATAACAGAGAAATTATCATCGGTGTTTCAGCTAATACCTCTGCACTTACTTTAAAGCTGCATAGTAAAAAGTTCCAAACCATATGCTGGAGGTCAAAAGATGCACAGGAATCAGAACTTTGCCATACTGTTTAAAAGTTTTCTTGAATCTCTGCACAAGACTAATTGATTTATCTTGCAAAGGGTCAAGTTCTACAGAATTAGGCTGTATAGGTGTTTCCCTGGCAAAATTACCAGCTGATGTGGTAAGATTTTCTCTCTTCAGTTCTTTATTTTGAGGGTCTTCAGGTTGGGAAGTTGCCTTGCCCACAAACCCCCCTTCCTTGGAATCCCAAAAAGGAGCAGACGTATGCAGGTATTGACTTTGGCAGCTCAGCACCAAGGATGTTGTTTTCTGCCTTATTGGATGTAAGGATGTTTTTCCTTGGATGCATGGAAAGATACAGGAACGATAGGATAGCAAACAGGTCCTAAATGCGAGCTGAAACGGTTTCTGCATTTTGGTCGATCGTGGCAGCATTGTGCTGATAGTATTGTATACAGTTCCTAAGAAATATTAATAGTTAAATTGTTAAATTAAGCAAAGAATTATCCCTGGCATCATAATTACATAGTAAAAGCAAGAAAAATTGGCTCACCACCTTAATCAAATTGTAAGTTAGTATAATCAAATCCTGACTTAAACAAAATCCACATATAGTGATTTAGACGCTGAACAGTCCCTTTCTCCAAGAATTCAGTTTTCCTGCTCTGTGTTGCTCACCAGTTATAATTTATGTACAAATAATGTAATAGTACTCATCCTTCATATTTCATATAGTCCATAATACGAAAACATAGTACAGTAGCATCAGAATCCATCCAAGTTTTGTACTGAGAATTAAATCCAGCACATTTATTAAAACACTTTTGTATATCAAAATATTTCAGTTCTTTCAGCTATATGTTCCTTGAACTTTACAAGGGATCAAAGAAGCCCAAGTATTCATAAAAAACCAAAAATGTTAATTACATTCTATTGATGAATGCTTATGTTGCACATGTATTAGCTGTAAATTTTTACAATGCATTAGACATAGAAATCTGAAGTTATAGTCTGCCCTCTAATGTATCATTTTAGCACTACAACAAGTATTGCGAATGACTGGTATAACAAATTTTTCCCATGCAAAGATTTTACGGTGGTCAATTTACAGTACAATTGTGGTTTTGTTTTCTCTTTCCTAGGTAACAACTGCATAACATTTTCTATGAGTTGTTAACTCCATACATAATGAAATATACTAAACACTCTGATCAGGTTTTTTTAATTTACTTTCAAATTAAAATGATTCCATTTTCTTAAGTGTGACCAAATTTTGTCATGTAATACATAAGAAACATGTGTGGCAGTTTGTTTTATCTATTTATCTAATTGGTTAACTAATATCAGTTTATATATGCAATCATCCACGGTGATTCTTTTTTACCTAAAATGCTCTCTATTTATAAAATGTGGGGTAGTTTCTTGATTGACATAATTTTATTCCAATGTAAGTTATGTGAAGAATAATGCCAGCAACAATAATTTATCAAATATACCAAAGCAACATTTGAACTCTCAGTTTGAACTTGAATTCAAATCAAAGTTACTTCTCAACCTGGGTTTAATTTGCTTTATAGACTTGGGTAGTATCAGAGTAACAGAATTTGAGAAGTAAACATATTATGACTGAAAGTTCTATGGAGATTTAAGTTATACATATTCAAAACATATAAAAAATTAAAATCTTACTACTTAAATAATGCAACCACTCCCTTGGATAATTTCCTGCTGTTAAATAAAAACTCCAAGGTCTCAATATATTACAATGATGCTTTTCATTGACTATCAATTAAACCATAAAAGTTACTGTACTCATAGCATTGTGAAACTCCACAATGCTATAAATACACTATAGGACTTATTATAAGGATTATAGATATTACAAAGACAATTTACAATGCTTACACCAGATAAAAGTCAAATGATTTTTCCGTAATAAATTAACAGCACAGCCATATCATCATTAATGTAGTGGCGTACAAAACAGGCGTCTGAACTTCAGAAATATTGCACTATTTCAATCCATTATTATTAGCTGTACGCGATTCCAGCAGGGTCAAATCACTCACTTTTAAACTTAATGCTTACGGTCCCTTACTGAATTCAAACATGTGATGATATTTAAGGGCTCATTGCCACTACATGCTAATTTTGATGCCAATACAAAAAAAAAAAATTCCTGTCTTCAATTAGATGCCCATAATTCTTTCTTTCAAAAGGACAGCCAATACAACTACAGAACCTAAACAGAGTTTGTTAATCAGCAGCAGCACCAAGAATTAAGATTAAGTTTGGAGCAAAAATACCATAACTTGAATATTTGAAAATCTTGTGCTCCTGCAAGTGACATTTAACTGTGAAAAGATGACTAGAAAGCACACACTTTCTCACTTGAAAGAGAGAATGTATCATGTTGCCTTTATGTCCAAATAAGTCATTGATATAAATATATATCAAATGGGTATCTAATTTGACAATAGTTGCACAAAGACAGCTATAGTATTAAGAAAAAATTCCTCACCCGTTTACAGCACTGTTGGAACCAAACGTTTGCCACTAGGACAAAACATTACAGATGCATTATACCATTGGAAGAGAGTCATAATCAAGTCATTGTCTTCAGGTATGTCATAAAACCTCACAACGAATAGATCTAAATATTCCTTCAACCAAAAGGACCTTCAGCTTCCAGTAAGAGCAAAACCTAGAAAAAAAATTAGACATTTTCAAAACTGAGACAATACAGGTAACCCCAGAATTACTAGTATTATCGAACGTTCGGCGTTACACGATAAGCATAAAGGGAAGTGCTCAGAACACGGTCAATCTGCGGGGCAAAACAGTCACCTGGGACACCAGGCCCCGTGTGATCACTGCCGCCTGTGCGTGCGCCCAGGTAGGTTCGGCTTCTCGCCGATTCGCCTTGCCTGGCACAGCCTCTCTGAGCGGTGAGGAGAGCGCGCCACTGCCTGCTGAAACCGGACAAGCTGGGAGGGGGGTCTGGGTGGCGTAGCACAGGTAACGTTACTCCGCTCGTGGCATCCCCTTTCCCGGAGTCCATGGGTGGGTGAAGTGGGCGAGGACCATTTGCTGGTCTCCTTCAGGGGATGCTGCCTTTCTTCATTCCTCCCAGAGGGCGACCCTTCCCCAGCTGCGTTTTTTGCCTGTTTTTTGCTGCCACCAGTGTGCATGCACGGTACGGATGGCTGCCACAGAAGCTTTAGATTGGCTGCCGGCCGGCCTGTTTTTTATCCTCTCCTCTCTTGGCTCTCCTCCTCCTCCTTTTCTCTTCGGTGCAGCTACAGCTGACTCTTCCTCCCCCCCCAAGGTTGTGTCTTTTTTCTCTCTCCCTCTTCCATTCAAACTGCCTCCTTTTAAATCCCTTCCTGTCTCCGCCCCCCCCTCCTCTTTTACGAAAAAGTCCTGAAATTACGATGTTGCCGCATCACGGCATTTGTTCACCCTTACGAATGACCACAGTGGCACTGCAACATTCACCCTGGCTATTCCCTTCCTCCCCCCCAGATCTCCCTAGGGACTAGGCCTATGGATGCTCCCCTTGCGAAGATCGAGAGATCCTTTGCTTTTGGCTGTTTCACTGCTTCTTCCCGTGCGTTCGCAGAGAATGGAGGCCTAAAGTAACACAAGATCAGTGGCAGAAAAGGCCTCAGATGCCTGGATCAGACCTTCGGAGCCCCACTGAAGCGTCCCCTGGTGTCATTTCTGGATGTCGGAGGCCTTTTCTGGGCTACTGCCTGCCGGAAAGGATGCTGGGGCTGCTTCAGTGGGGCTCCAAAGGCCTCAGAGGCCTCCTCCAGGCCTTGGAGGCCCAGAACGGAGGCTATGGGCAGTGGCCATGTGCTTCCAGATGTCCGTTCAGGGTCTCCCTCTGCTCTTGTCGGGAGCAGAGAAAGAAACAGAGAGGCTGGAGAGGAGACAAATCTTCATAAGGTAAGTGACCCTGCGCAGCAGGATGGGGAGGGAGCAATTGTGGGCCCCCAGGGGAGGGAGCATGAGGTATTTCAGTGGGTCAGGGAAGGCCTTGGGTGGTCTGAAGATGGCCTGTTCCATAGGCCCCCCATGATCTTCCCCACGCTGAGATACCTGATGTTCACTTAA